GATATCCCGGGATGGGGTACGGGGAGATGTCCCGGAATGGGGTACGGGGGGATGTCCCGGGATGGGGTAACGGGGTAATGTCCCGAGATGGGGTACGGGGAGATGTCCCGGAATGGGGTACGGGGAAATGTCCGGGATGGGGTACGGGGAAACGTCCCGGAATGGGGTACGGGGAGATGTCCCGGAATGGGGTACGGGGGAATGTCCGGGATGGGGTACGGCGGGATGTCCCGGGATGGGGTAACTGGGGGATGTCCCGGGATGGGGTACGGGGGGATGTTCTGGGATGGGGTACGGCGGGATGTCCCGGGATGGGGTACGGAGAGATGTCCCGGGATGGGGTAACGGGGAGATGTCCCGGGATGGGGTAAAGGGGAATGTCCCGGGATGGGGTAAAGGGGAGTGTTCCCAGGGGATGTCCCCGGGTGGGGGTACGAGGGGAATATCCCCGGCTGAGACCTGGGATGGGGGTACCGGGAGATCAGAGCGGATGCCTGGGCTGAGGTGTGCGCTGGGAGTACCGGGGTACCCCGGGCTGGGGGAACGGGGGGATCCGAGGGGATCTCCAGGCTGAGACCCGGGCTGGGAGTGCAAGGGGATCCCTGGGCTGAGGCGTGGGCCGGGAGTGTGAGGGGATCCCGGGATTTCTGGAACTGAGGATACGGGGTATCCCCGGCTGGAGACTCAGGCTGGGGGTACGAGGGGATCCGGGGGGATCCCTGGGCAGAGGCTGTGGGGGTATCCCAGGAGATCTCCAGCTCCGAGGTTACGGGATCTCCTGGGATGAGGTGTGCGAGCAGGGGGATGCCCCCGGCTGGGGCTGGAGGAGGACCCGGAGTGATCCCGGGTCGATTCCGGAGGGAATCCCGCGGTCTGAGGTGTACTGGGGGTGTGAAGGGATCACCGGGGCTGAGGATATGGGGTACCCCCCGGGCTGAGGTGTGTGGTGAGGGGATCCTTCAAGCTGGGGGTTTCTCTGGGCTGAGCTGTGGGCTGGGGTTTTGGGGGGCATTCCCTGGGCTGAGGCACGAGCTGGGGATTCAGGGGCCAGCCCTGAGCTGCTGTAGGGTGCCCCTTCCATCACCCCATTGCGGGAAGGGCTGTGGGGAKCCCAGGGTTAGCAGCCAGGGAGTGGGGATGGACGGGGCAGGTCCTGCTGGRGTGCAGATTTGTGCCCTGCATTGCTCTCCATGTTCTCTCCATCCCCTCAAACTCCTGGAGCTGGTCCCTTCCCACCAGGGTGATGTTGGGTGACTCCTCCAGTCACTCCCTGGCCCTGCTGGAATGTCACCACCACCATTCTGAAGTGCTGTGGGCTTGGGATGATCCCAGCAGTGAGCTGACCCTCCTTTGTGACTGTTCCCACCATCTCATCCCAGCTGGGCTTCCATCCCTTCAAACCCCTGATCCCTGCAGGCACCTTCCTGCTGCAGGGCTGGCRTGTCCCAGGTTTCCATATTCCCACCCATGATTCTGGAAATGTGCTAACTCTAATGACCAAGAACAAATATAATGAAGTTTCCATGGGGAACTTGTTGGCCTGTCACCCCAAAAGGTGGTTTGAGCATCCTGCATCCTCCTGGGTACTTTTGGGGCACCCCCAGCAGACTGAGCACAGCTGGTCTTTGCCAACAGCCCCTTTTGCCCCAGCCCCACACTGGGTTCAAGTGTTGGTGAAYAGATAAATGTTGGGGCAGATGTTGGCAGCACAGGTCCCCGCCAGCTGAAGCTGTTCCAGGATTTTCTGAGCAGGAAAAGGAGTCTGAAGGCTCAGCTGGGCAGAGAGTGAATGCTCCATCACCCAAGCACGGGCATGGGACTAATATTTCCTGGAATTTTTGCAATCAAATAAATAGCTGAGATCTAAAGRAGCCACAAAACCCTCTCTTTCCACACCTAAACAGTCCTTCAGGCAACAGGGACAAATCATCCCCATTTTTGTGCCTAGGAAATGGTGAATTGCTGGGGATATGAAGAGGGGAAGGAGCTGTGGGAAGGAGGGGTGTGCAGTGTGACTCACTGGCTTTCCTCCATCTCCTCCTGACATGAGAGCTGCGTTTAACTACGACAAGCAAGAGAAAAAAAAAAAAAAAAAAAAAAAAAGAAAATAATACCCCAGCAGCTGTAACACGCTCCACATTTGCACATTTATCATTCGGTTTCCGATCACAGGTTTCACCAGAAGAGTCAGGATGACTCAGGTGAAATGCAGGGCTGCAGCCAGCCAGGCTTTACTCCATTTTATTGCCCCAGGAATTTATTGTTCCAGCTGGGAACAGGAACTGCAGTACCAGAGGATGTGGAGCCCTGAACTGCATCCCTGCTCCTCCCCAGACACCCAGCTCAGTTCCCAATCCTCTGAGGATGCCCAAATCCTCTGTTTGAACCAGACAAGTTTCCTCACTGACAACATCTGTAGGTTTTGGCAGAACAGCTGCCTCTTCCCTTCAGATCCTCTCTGAGCAGACACAGTTCAGAGGGCTGGGCTGTGCTTCTGAGGAGCTTCAGACCACTGAGACCTAATCATCCATACAGAAAAGGGGTTAGCAAAGGGCATCGAAGCATCCAGGCACTCCCTACTCTTTGCTYTCGTTGTTTCCTTGGAAAAGAAGCAGCTAAGCTCCCTCCGGAGTCAACCCTGACTTTGTAACAGCCTGAGCTCAGCTGCTCTGGGAGCTGCTTGTAATTTTTCTCCGATTTATGGGGCGAGAAGGGCAGTTTCCAGCTTATTTGCCAGCATGAGCACTGCCTGGCTGTGCAGAAACCACATTTTCTGGGGATGTTTGAGCAGAGGTTGCACACACAGGAGCGATGCCGGCAGTTCTGTTAATGGTGTTTGCCAACTCAGAATTAGCAGGTTCAGGTGATTGGGATTTGTGCCAGGATTTGGAAGGACACTTCCAAAAGCCCAATTTCACCCACAGTGGAGTCCTGTCCCTCTGAAACACAGCCCCACGTCAGCTGGGTAAGCAGAAGCATGAATATTTGGCCTTTTGGGTTTTTTAAGTATCTTAGGATGAGATTTTATTGATAGTTCCCTATTAATTACACCCCATGTTCTCATTAAGCCTTCTCAAGTAAATTTTTCTTTGCTATTTCTGAATATATACAAAAAAAAGTGGAATGCAGGCTATAAACCAGAAGAATTAGTGAATATTTTCTCCCCTGTGCTTGCTCAGAACTTGGAGGTTATTTCCACTATTTAAAGAGAAGAAATATCTAAAGAGCAACAAAATAGGAGTGCAAGAAGTGCTGAGATTGTAACTTGAATTATTCTGAAATGTAGAATGAGGYCTAGAGGAGGTGAAAGCCCTGTGCACCATCAGAGGCTACCATGGTGTYCTTGTGAGAACCAGGGGATGCTGCTGGGGGCCAAAGTCCGTGGGAAAGTCCATCAGGGGCCTCTCTTGACTCTGAAAATGGGGMAAATCTCAAACAGAGACAGTCTGGAGCAATTCTGTGTTCAGGCTCCAGCTCCTTGACCTGTTTTAGTCTGTCCAGCTGTCTCTGGCTGTGGTGGCACTGAAAGGGACCCACATGGGAAGAGCTGGAGCATCATACCCTGCATGCCAAAGTGATCCTCAGGGCTGGGAGAGTGGAATCCCCAAAAAAACCTCTCCATTCCCTGTGTGCCAAAGTGATCCTCAGGGCTGGGGGAGTGGAGACCCCAAAGAAACCTCTCCATGCCAAGGCTAAGGATGAGGAGACCCTGAGCAGCCCCCACTGGGGCAGATGGAGCCATCCAAAAGGTGTTTCAAAGGGGATTTCTGCACCAACAGATGATAAAAATCTGTCAAAATAAATAGGAATCATGCACAGAAGAGCCCTGTTATTCCTCTGCTGGCTGCAAAACGAGATCATTTAGGACTGGGCTCAGAGTTTAGAGATGATGAATTCCCCTCTCTTGAGCCACCTGCACCRAGCCAGCTCGCCTCGTTAACAGCTCAAGCAGCAAAAGAGCAAAGCAGATCAATTCTGCTGTTAACAGCCAGGACGTGGCCCCAGCGTGATCCTGGAACAATAGCTGAGCCCAGGAGGSGATGGATGGCACCATCCCAGCCTAGGGACATCCTCCCCGTGCTCTGGAAACACAGCCTGAGAGTTATCAGTCCCTGGAACTGCGTCAGCTGGAAGAGTGCATGACGAGTGGTTTAATTCTATTACCCGGGATAACGAGCAAAATTGATTACAGGCTCCTAAAATACTGATCTCTTACAGGGGGATTTGCTGCTCCACGAGCACAGAGGATCCCCAGGGTCTGAGGGGTTTTCTGCAGGTGGGATCTGCACTTTAMCTGCCTTGGTGGGGGTCTCACATTTTAGAGATGAGACTGGAAGTGGGAGCAGCAATTTTGCCCTGCCCCAGCTTCCCTTTCCTGCCTTCACCGAGCAAAGGCACAGGATTCTTGTGCCAATGGGACTTTCCTCTCCAAAATTTGGAAAACTTCAGAGGGATTGGCCTGGGTAGGCTGTTGTAGGTGAATCCATATTTATGAATGTGAAAACAGATGTATAAAACAAGTCTCCCAGTTCACATGGACCTGTTTCCAACAGAAGCTAGCTGACATCACACTATCTTTAGGTTCCTCCATTCCATTCCATTCCATTTAATCCCATTCCATTCCATTCCATCCCATCCCATTCTATTCCATCCCATTCCATACCCAAGGCTGGCTTTGGACTCACACACAAGTGGATGGGAACAGCCACCGTGTCCCTGCATCGCTCCCCTCAATTGCTCCTCACTGTTATTACCCCGAGATATCGATAATGTGATTTGGAGAC